AAAACCATCTCTTGGGTTCAGTCTTTTTATTACTTGTCCTTTTTTGTTTCATCTCTTCCCCAGAAAGACAAAGTTACTGAATAATTGACTTCTGGACAAGTTGAGATAACATTGCTGTTACAGAGGGTGAAATACCAAAATGACTAATGGTGACAGCAAAGTTGCTTGGATGGAAAAGTTGTAATTTTCTTTTGACATTTAATCTGCTCTGTTATTATGTAATTATACTTGTAAGAGAGCCGAATGCTTCCAGTCAGTGAGCACAAGCTTTATATTTTAACATAATTCTGTGGAATCCCCTTAAATGTAAACTTAAGAAAAATACCACTATGTGGAACATTAAAATGGGAGGTCTGTATTTGAAATAGGTACTAGAGTGGTCAGATATCTTTCTTTCCTAATAACCACCACTAAGAAACCACATCCAGGTGTGGTGGTGTATGCCTGTAATCTCAGCGCTCAGGAGCTAAGATAGGAGGATTGTCACAAGTTGTTTTTTCGGCCTGGACTACATTGTAAGACTTTCTCTTGGGAGGAAAAAAAAAAAAAAAAAAATGTTGGAGTGGCCTGGGTCACCTTTCCTTAAAGCAGCTGCGTAAACACCTCAGAAAAAGTGGACAAGGCAGAGGTCACAGTCTTCAAGGAGTGTCTGTATCAGTGGGATTCCTGTCACTAGAACACAATGCCTGACACCCATTACTTATGGGAGAGGTTTAATTTGGCTCATGGTTTCAGAGAGTTTAGTCCATGGTCAGCATCAAACTTAATACCACCCAAACCCCTGAACACACTCAAGGCAGACCTAGTTCCACATATAGTAGTTACGTGAGCATGGGCCTCAGTTCCCCTTCTTAGAAAATGGGATGGGTATTCTCACCTGCTGGGGTTGCTAGTGGTGATACCTGGGAAATGCCTAGCTCAAGGCTGCAGCTTCTTTTCCCACCTACTGTCCCAAGGTCCTTGCTGAGTTTGTCCTTGGCTATACCTAGGACTGACTGCTTGCTGATTGTGCCTTCCCCATTCCCATGTAGTGTCCCTTGGCTAGTACTCTAAATAGCAACAGCTCCTGGCTTCCTTGTGCTGGGCGATCAGTCACCCTGTGCCAAGAAAAGGGAGCCTGAGGGGCCTGTTTGGGACCAAGACAGATTGTATGTTGCTGTGCAGCATAGTCCTACTCTGCTGGTCACTCCAGTTGGCATCCTGGCCATGCTGCACGTGGCTGGAGCCAGCATCTTTGGGCCTGGAGCCCCTGCTGACTCTCAGAAGCTCAGCTGTGGTTTTGAGCTGGCTTGAGTATGGCCCCCAAGGACTGATGTTGACATTTAGTTCCCACCAAGTGGTGGTAGAGAGCTAGAAACTTAATCCAACCATGAACAAGTGGGGCCTTTGGGAGGTCTTAGGATTAGACAGATCATTGGTGTGGAGGCCCATGATCAAATCCAGCTGGCTTTACCAGAGGGAGACCAGAGCCCAGGATACATATGTGTACATGTACACACACACACACACACACACACACACACAGGAATGCACACATGCATATGTTCTTATATCTGCCTTGTGATATCCTCTGTCACTTCAGGACTCAGCCAGCAAGAAGGCCAGCATCAGATGTAGCCCCTGGACTTTGGACCAGGATATGAGCCAAAGTAAACCTCTGTGTTAAAACTTAAAAACAGACAGGAAAAAAAAGAAACTTCTGTAAACTATAGAAAATAGTTTGAGAAATTCCTAGTATAGATAAATGGAAAAGTAAAAGGAATTTTTATTTCTGGGGACTAGAATAAATTTAGGGTGTCGTGAATGCTAAGCAAGCACTCTACCACTGAGCTACATCCCCAGCCCTTTTGGAAAAAAAAAAAATTTGAGACAGGGCTTTGCTTTGTAGCCCAGAGTGTTAGTGGTGATCCTCCTGCCTCAGCCTCCCCAGTGCTGGAATTGCAGGTGTGCATTATCATGTCTGGCTGGAAATTTTATTTTGAATGCCTCATGTGGTGACACACACCCAAATCCTAGGACTTGAGAGACTGAGGCTGGATGATCTCATGTTCAAGGCCAGCCTGGACTACATAGCAAGACCCTGCATCAAAAAATCAAAAATAAGTAAGGAGATAATGATATTTTGAGACAGGGTCTCTATCAGTTGCCAGGCTGGCCTTAAACTTGCAGTCCCCCTACCTCAGCCTTCCAAGTAGCTAGGACTACAGACTGCACCCATACCCAGCATCCTGAAAATCATTACTCACTTTAATATCACTTTTTTAGTTATTACTGTAATAGTTCAGATTATCTCAAATTCAAGAGTTTTGTTTTTGTTTTGCAGTGCTGGGTATCAAATCCAGACCCTTTGCATGGTAGGGAGGCACACCTACCACTAAGCTATATACCCCACCTAAATTCAAGAGAACTTCTAAAACCCTGCCTTTTTCTTCCACACAAACATTTCTACCAGTGTACTCTGTATTATAAATTAGAGCTTATCAAAAGATGTGCAGGGATCATTGGATATGTACTGTCAGTTGGCATTTTGTTTGTTTTGTTTTTGTTTTTCTTCCAGTACCAGGAATCGAACTCATGACCTTGTGCTTGCCTGGCAGATGCTGTGCCACTGAGCTAAATCCCCAGCCCCTCATTTTTTAACTGTAGGATTTTTTTTATAACTTGCCAGTGTTTTGGTAGTCGTATTTCTGCATTTTGATATGAATCAAGAATTTATATGTTTAAGAAGCACTTAAATGGTCTCATTAATGATTCATAGAAAGCACCACCTCTTGTTCTTCTCTTATGAATTATTTTCAGTGCCCAAATAAGCATATTGGATATAGCTTTTGCATAAATGATCTGAAATCTGATCATTTTAAGGTTAAACCAGCTAACTTTCAACTAGTTGGTGCAACATTTCATTCACTGATGCCACCACCACAACCCCCAGAGTTTAGTATACTGGAGGCTGAGCCAGGGCCTTTGCACCTGCATCTCTAGCCCGTTTTTTCTTTTTTGATACAGGATCTCACTTTGACTTGCAATGCTCCTACCTTAGCAATCCCACAATGCTAGGATTTCATATGTGCCACTACACTCAGCCATGTTCATTTTTATGTTTTTTTTTAATTTTTCAGGTAAGGATAATAATAGAAACACTGGATAAATCTAGCAGATAAAATAATGGAATACCATATTGTTATGTTAACTTTATTGCAATAAAAATATACTGTCTATTCGTAGAATTCTTACCGATGTAATTATCTTTTATGGTTGGCTGGTTAATTGAGATAAATTCTCCCTGAGGATTATAGGCTGGCCCTGAACTGGCAATTCTCCTGCCTCAGCCTCTCAACTGCTGGGTTTGCAAGTTTTCATCACCATATCTGGTCTTACATTATGTTTCTTAATCGGTTTATTTTCTTGAATTCTGTTATGTTTCCCTGGAAAATAGGGACCAAAGACTAGAACCACACATTTCACAAAACCCAAAATAAGACAGTTTGAAATGCCAATAAAAAAGAAGAAATACCCATCCTCACTATAATTAGAAATACCCATCCTCACTATAATTAGAAATACCCATCCTCACTATAATTAAAAAAGAAGAAATACCCATCCTCACTATAATTAGAGATTTTCTTCATATACTTCAGTCAAAACAATAAAACAGAATATAGAAATAGGAAAATCCACTTGTTTTCTATTAAGGCAGACTAAAGAGATCTGCAAAAATGTAAAGTAGTATCACTCTTAATAGGACACGGTGGCACACACCTCTAATCCCTGCACTTTGGGAGACTTGAGGCAGTTCAAGCCTAGCCTGAGTAACTTAATGAGACCCTGTCTCAAGATACAAAAAAGTCAAAAGAGCTGGGGATGTAGCTCAGTGCTAAGAGCAACCCTAGGTTTAATTTCCAGTAACAAACACACACATGCTCAATAAATTTTATTTTGTTTTTAAATTAGTTTGGTTTTCAAAAAAATTATGTTAAGGCATAATCAATTTATTTTATATATTTGAGTGAACAGATAAATATTTAATAAGCATTTCTTTGTTTTCTACTGTATTACTGTATTTACAGGGGTCACCCACATAAACAAAGGCTGATGGGGTCCTCAATAATTCTTAGTATTATGATGAGGTGCTTTTCAGCCCTTATGCCCTAGATAAATATATATACAGTGTACCAGGAGCTATGTGTAAGAATGATTTTATCAGTTACCCAAAATGACCTAAAATTTAGAGCAGTGAATTAACAATATATTAAATAAATATGAAAGTATTCTAAACATTTTACAGAACCAAAATTTAATAAACTGTAAGTACTTTCAACATGTATACATTTTAAACATCAGGTTAAATGCAAGAGGTCAGACTCAAAGTAATCTATAGTGCATGATTTCATTTATGTAGTGTTCACAGCTAGGCATAGTAAACTTTAGGGATGGAGATTTAGGTGGTTGAAATAACTGATTACCATGTAAGTCAAAATAACTGTTACCCTTAAGGAGAACTATACTGTATTGAGATGAGACACTGACAGTGTTCTGTTTCTTGACTTGGCTGGTAATTATAGTGGTAATTTTTTATATTAGCTTACTAATCTTTATATTTGTGTTATGCACTTTTGGATATGTGTGTTATATTTCACATTTAAAATAAAACCAAATAAGTAGAATATTTCAGTTTAAAATTTGGATAAAAATAATTTTATCAGTCTTTAAAAAATCTTAAGTAAGCAAAATATTCATGACACTTCATTTTTGTTTAATGCATAGTGTTTTTCGGGTCCATATTATCAGGATATGTTTGATCTTTATTTTCTGGATCGATATGTTTCTTTACCTTTTTTTAACCAAGTACTTTATCCATTCTCAGTAATTCTACAACAGTTTGGATTTCAAACTATTATAAAGTAAAACAATTATAAATATTCTCCTAGTACTATAAAAAACACAAATTTTCTCATTTGTTTGAACTTTTATTAAAAATTTTTTTTTTTCATTTGATACAGATAGTCGTACAGGCACTGCAATGTTCCCATTACTCGATTCTTTGGCAGTTGGTGAAAATTACTGATGGTTCTCCTTCCAAAGTAAGTAAGAATTTCTGTAGGCAGAAGAGTTATTGTTAAATAACGACCTTGCTTACCTCGTTTAATAATTTACTATCAGTTATATAAATTATAAAGTTTAATAAAATGTGATAGTGTATTGTTACCAATTCTTGCTTTATCTCATATGTTTACCTTTTTTGGATGATAGCCAGAGTCTTCAAGCAATTGGCACACAGATATAAATATCAATTAAAATACTTCTAAGAAATAACTGTAGTAGACACAAGAGCTCTGATAGATGGCATACTGTAAGAAAGAGAGTAACAGTGAAAGGTTATAGTATTTGGCTTTTGATTCTGGCAATATGGCACCTTTGGGCCCAAGGTGAGCAGTTCATCTTTAAATTTAAAAACAACTTAAATGTTAAATAAATTTTTAGAAAATTTAATGTATCAGCAATCATGAGGAACTAAAAGGAAAATATAAGCCAGGGATTAATTGAAAATAGGATCCAAGAAAGTGAGAAAGAACGTTCCACCTTTCACATTGGTAATCTTTCTAATATAGAAAAGATCCAAGGCCCTTTCAAAGTAGGAGCTGGTTACATCTCCCTGATTAAATTGCAGTTAAGTTTTGAGTTATGCCTAGCACAAGGGTAACTAGAAAAGAATGAACACTGGCTCCATAGAATGAGGGTTAGAGAAAACTTTCTTAAAATGTATCATTGATTAAAGGTGGAAAAATAGGACTCCTGTGAAAGTTTATAATTATGACCTAGTTTTCACTCAGGTTTCCACTCTGAATTCTAATTATTTCTGAAAGAACACACCTTAAAGAATTTTCCACAAATGAAGTTTGAGGAAAGCAGCTTATTTTTTTAAAAGCTCCAAAGAAAACGAGAAACCACAAGTAGAATGATCAAGACAAAAAATATTAATATATTTGAAGTGTCTGACACAAATACAAAATAAATGTTTCCAAAATATTTCATGAAATGAAAGAGGCACGTGCCTATAACTCCAGCGTTTGGGAGACTGAGACAGGAGGATTGTCAGTTTGAGCCTGGCCTGGATTACTTGATTTCGTACATAGCAATCCCTGTCTTGAGGTGACTGGGGGTTGAACATATAAGTAAAAAAACAGATATTTGGTAAAGAAGCAAATAAAGCTGCTAGGTATGGTGACACATGTTCATCATCCCAGCACTCAGGTGCAACAGCAAAAGGATTAGGAGTTTGAGGCCAGCCTGGGCTATATAGTCAAATCTGTCTCCAAAACAAAGAGATGATATGTTTGCATATAAAACTAACAAGATGGAGCATTCTTTTCTGAGAAAGAGTTTTTCTTCCTCATTTTCTCTGTATTTGGAAAGTGGTTTGTTTTTAACTAGAAGGATGGTAATATATTGGCTAGCCTCCTTGTTTTTCAATTTTATTGACAGTTTCAGTACTAAAGCAAAAGTAAAAAGTAATCTTACTAGTAACAAAAGCCACTTTAAAACTGTTACATTTTCATATTGTTTGAAATGTTCTTTAAAATGGTAAAATTAAAGGAAGTTGAATACATATGTTAAAATTTGATATCAAGAATTTATATATTATATAGTTATTTTTATTCTGATGTTTTTTCATCTGGTTGAGTTTTTATTGCAGTCCTAGAGATAAAACCCAAGGCCTCTTACATGTTAAGATAGTGCTCTGACCACTGAACTGTATCCCTACCCCTATTTTATTGTGCTTTTCATTTTTTTCAGTGGAGTCTATGTTGATTATCTGGGTTATGTATATTTTGGCTAAATATTAATAATTGCATTTAATAAATTAATTACAGTCTTTTCTAAAACTTTGGTATAATTAATGATCAAATCCTTCTTTAAACCTAATTTAGATTTTTCTCCTGTTATCATATTCCATATTTAGAGTGAGATCATATTCCATATTGAGAATAAGAATATTCTTAAATATTCTTCTTTTCTATTGTATAATCCTATTATAGCAGAATTATCTTGAGCTTTTTTTTTACTGCTTCATTTTTGTATCTGTCACAGTATATATTTCATGTTTGTCATTGTCACATGGCAATGTAGACTTTTTTGAACAGCACTTTTCTTTATGCCAAAAAGACTACAGCATCTTTTAGATAATACCCACATGTAGTTTTTTGTGCATTTATATTACATATAACATTCTTTACTTAGGTTATTCTCACTTTAAACTTGTTGGTCTTTTTTTTAATCCAAAGCATATTCAGATATTATTGTGTATTGTGTCTGTAATATAAAGGTGGTTCTGTAAGTGATTGAAAAACATAAATTCTGAAGACGCAAACATTAAAAATAAATCTTTCATTGCCAGGATTCCTCCTTTTAAAACAATTAATGACCTAAATAATAATTACTAGATTAGGAATTGCCAAACTTTCTGATCCCCTATATGATATAGAATACTTTTGGGAAAAGTTAAACGCCATATCCATAAGCTTTGTACAAACTGAATCTGTATTCTTAGCATCTCACTTGATAAGATACTGAGTTTCTGACTGTAGTTCTAGCTATATTGTTAGCTTGTATTATTAACTTGAGGCCAGTCACTTAAATAATTTTAGAACATGGTGGGTACAGTGTCCCATGCCTATAATCCCAGCATTCAGGAGACCGAGGAGGCAAGAGGATGCCAAGTTTATGGCCCCTTTGAAATACATACAAGACCTGTCTCAAAACAAACAAAAATCAGTTGGGTAGCTCCCAGTCACACCACATAGTTAAGTTTCATTGATCATTCTGTATGCCTGAGAATGTGAGAAGTTACTATGATTTTTAAATAGCTTGGTTGTAATACCAGGTAAGTATATGGAGGATTTCAATAATGATAATCCAAAACTCTCCTTTTTTTCCCTTTTAACTTTTTAAAAATTTAAATGTAATATAACAGATACTGGAATATTTATAAATGTTGTGTACTTAACATTTTTAATGTTGGTCATTTGGAAGCAACCTGAAAAATTTATTACATGAAGTGATTTTATTTTGTTGAAAAGTGTTAAGATAGAATGGATCATTTAGCTGGCGAGGGAGTAGACCAGGTGGCCACCATCTGTTTTTCCTCTAGTTGTTAGTACATTTATACAAATTCATTTAAATTTTTGAAGAGAGCAAGGCGTGGTAGTACATGCCAGTAATCCCAGCACTCTGAGTGGCTGAGACATGAGGATCACAAGTTCATTCCTAGCCTGGGCAATTTAACAAGACCTATCTCAAAATTTAAAATAAAGGCTGGGGTTGTTGTTCATTGCAAAGACCCTAGGTTAATCCCTAGCACCTGGAAAAAAGAAATGCTTATAGAAAATATTTTTAATGTATACATAGTAGTACATCATGTAGCTACATCATAATTTATTCTAGCACGCTCCTTTCTTGAATACTTAGCTTGAAACATTTTCGTTAATAAAATTAATATGTTGGGTGTTGGGTACAAAAACTCTTGTTCTGTTATCCATTGTTTTATCTAGTATCCTATTGTTAGAAATGGAATTGCTGAATCAACAATTGTATGTATGTTTAAGATTCCTAATACATAGTATTAAATTGCTTCTTTGAGAGTACTCCAAAATTTATTTTTCTTCTCTGCCGTGGTGAACTCTATCATGTGGGAGATTATGAATGGTAGTTGTATTTGAAATTTAAATTTGTTGTAATTTAATACTGTAAAATGAAGTATTTGAGAAGACTTATAACAGGAATAGGCTTAGATCTTTATTTGAAATAATAGTGCTCTGGGTTTCACCAATGGGTATTTCCTCTGTTCCCCTAATTTCCAGAGTTGAAGCTCTTGGGCAGTCTCACAGGTCACGCTCAGTATACTTTGCTCCGGTGCCCCCTAGTGCTGGTCCTGTAGAAGCAGCCTTCAGTTTCTCTTCTCTGTAGCAGAAAACATCCTTCTTCCTTCAGCTCCTTCTGGACATACACAAAGACATTTAAAGAGCCAGGTAAATAAGAGTTAGGACTAAAATAATGCCCCTACTTGTCTTCTTTGGCCTGGAGATCTAGTCTTTATAGTCTTTTTTTTTTTCCCCCTTCTGAGAACAGTCCTGCTGTCTGTAATCAAACGTTTGTGCTACTCTACCTTACTTTAATGTTTTTGTTCTAGACTACAATAGGAAAGGCCAGGGGCAAGCACCCTTGCCTTCCAGACGTTGGCACTATGACTGACAAAGAAAATCATCATTCCTAGGTAGCTACATGTCAGATTATTATTGAGGTATTTAGCTGCAATATTTGTTCCTCCACCCTCTTGGCTATGGATTTTCCTCTGTAAATCCCAGCTTGACCTCCTACCTGGAGAAGGAAAAAGTAAGAGTGAAAGTAGGACTGATAGGGACCAAGTCCCTTATCCTTTCTGTTCTTTCATAATCATGCATTCCTGGTTACAGGCTCAAATGTATAAAGACCTATAGATTGCTTTTTGTATATCTTTCTATTGCTCTACGCCTTCAGAGTGGTAGTGAAGAAGGTCCTTGCCTAGAGTTCTTATCACAAAATTTAGATATCACCTATCCATGTGTAAAATTAACTGCTTTGAGGGGAAGGAAATAGGACTAAGGGGAAGAAATAACTATCCCTATAGGAACAAATTTTTACTAGTATATAACCATTTTATTTCACTTCTTCAAGAATACAGTGTTTTCCTTCAGTTTTCATTTCTTGGTAATTCTAACCCCATTAACTATACAGTTAGTTTTAAAAGTTTCCTTTTCATCATTCTGTGACTTCATAGTCCTGCTTCAGTAGATGTCTTCTTGTTAATAGTATCCTCAATCACAAGTGCCTGATTGGCTGCACTAGACAGGTTAGGGGAGAAAGGTCTGTGTCTTGTTTAATATCCATTTCTTATTCAGCTTTCAGAACGTCCTTTTTAAAAAGTCTAGAATACAGAAGGTGCTGTTCATACTAGTTCTCAATTGCAAAATTTTTTTCAGTGCCAGCATTTACAAATTTTCTGGAAACCAGAAGTAAAAATATTCAACTTAGAGAAGAAAAACTT